CCCGCTAACACATAAGCACTTGGCTGCTGCCGGCTGGTTGCGCGCTCACTTCCACCGGCTGTCACATACGACTGTCCGTACATATACTTGAGTTGCTGACTCCAGAAGTCGTGTAATAAATTTGCTAAAAACTTTTTGCAGCAGTTGAGGCAGAAGCATCAGCGGCAGTTAGTGTAGCAAACAACTGGTTTATCTGCAACTACACAAACTACACTTGTAAGCAGACTTGGTCTTGCTCAGGTGTTTCGGTCGCGGAGGAAAAAGACCTACAAAAAAAAAAAAAATACGCAAAAAGTCCCGCTGCTACACATGCAGCAGGCTCTAAGTAGTATTCGCGGCTGTCCATCGCTTCATCACCCGTCTGCGCTGCTAAGACGACGAGAACGATCGATTATTTGTTTTATTCATGAGCGCGCGCGTTTGCGCACATTTCTGACCGCTGCTACTCGTACCTCGTACCTACCAAATGTTGCACGCACGCACAAACGCTCACATGCGGATCTGCTTGGCAGCCAGCCGTTCCAACGAAGTCACAGTGGGGCGATGTGGCATTGTCTCATTGATTCCTGATAAGTCAATGAAAGGCACATCAAATGACAAACAACAGCAGAGTAACAGAGAAAAAAAAAGTTGAGGAGTTAAAAGTTGAAAAAAGCAGTAGTAACAACAGCAATAACAATAACAATAAGTAATCATATTTATATAGAGCGCAATTCAAGCTCACTGGCTTACGGGCTCGCGGCCCGTTGTGCGTTCAGTTAGTGGGAATTATTCCAAAAAAAAACAAACAAACTCACACAACAACTCAACTCTTCTTTTGTTGTTTAAACTACTCTTTTTTCGTTTTGAAACCACTTCATATACATATATATTTATGCCTAATCCATATTCTTCGTTAAAGCTTTAGCTCCACTGCGAATCAAGATTAATTATGCATCCCTCTACACGTCTTCCACACGTCCTGCTGGCGTTCGCTTTGATTTGCTTTACTCTGCTTCGCATATGATAAATGGTGTCGCACTGATTGAGGCGCCTGTCTCTCAAAAACTCTACCCCAGTCTGCTGCCTACTTTCAAGATCAGCCACATACGATAAACAAGCCACCAGTCGGGTATGTTGTATAAACAACAACAAGGCCGTTAGTGGCCAGTAGTGATCGTGGTGGAAAAAGATCGCTCATTTAGTAATGATTTTCAGGCAATTAAAGTTGATAAGCCATCAAAGGCTTATGACACACGTTGACTCGATACTTCTGTTGGTTTCAACGTCAGGCAATAACGTGCACTTTTATATTTACAGTTTTCTGATGCTTCTTCAGATGAATTTTAAGTGGGTTCCTAGGCTGTAAATAGTTTTGGTGAAGAATTCCGGAAATCTTTTCCTGCGCGGTGTACTCTCCTTTTCTAGTAGCGATAGGAGTCTTAAGTTTTAAGTTATTGAGCAGGCTCATGCTGCTCCTCCGCATACTCCAACTAGGCGTTTGTGAGAGGTTCACACGAATTTTTAAATCGTGCAAGTTTCTTCCAAACATGTGTGCCCACCCACCTCTGTGTGGTTGGAGGTGAGAGCATTGTGAAAGATGTGACGTCTCAATCGGCTGAAGGCCGGACTTTCACAAAGGTAGTGCTGCAGCGTTTCGTTACCTGCTCACCTAAACGGGGTTTGGTCGCCGGGAGGGTGGCAGCCTCCTTTGATCGGATGAAATTTGCGTCAACTCCGGTGCGTAGAACTGGCTGCCGTGAGAGTTGTGCAGCCTTTCGTCATCATCTGTGTTTCGTCATCACTTTACCTAGCTTATGGAGTTGATATCTCAGAGGTAGAATGCTAAATTTTGGCATTTCTACTATCCACGCCGCCTCATAATAATGTGGAGTGGTACGTCCAACGTTGGAATAAATTCAAGACCATAAGTGTTCCGCTATGGTTCACTGTTTTGCAGGCGCTGAAGGGGGTAAGGCAGTCGTGCGAGCTATCCTAAGCTATATTCATCGAGTTTTTCTGTGATAGTCAGTCGCTTTGCTGCTTGACTGCCTACCAGAAACCTGCTAGATTTTTTCCGTTTAAGCAGTTGCCCACATTTGGCACCATCAGTAAAGCCCAAAACTCTGCTTGGCATATAGAGTTGTAGTCACATTAAGTCGCCTTTGTTATTGGCGTAGTCACAGAAGTACACTGCTCCTGTGCTTGCCTCACATTTAGACCTATCGGCATAGATATGGATAACTTTATTTATACCGATGGGCACGCCTTCCGTCCGCTCTTTCTTACTAGGGTGGAAGTACGCGGTCACTAGCCGACATAAGATTTAGATTTCTTTCGTATTTTATATTAAGCTCGTGTTCGATTATAATTTTCTGAATGTCATCATGTCGTTAAAAATTTTGGAACTGGATCCAACTATGTAGAACATTTAGGTGGGTAGCTGTTCGCGCTACTTTACACAGCGCTTGCATGTAAATCTGCCTTATAACAGGGATGAAGTTCGAGGGCTTTCTTGAGAAATTCCTCATCGCGATACTCCTTGAACTCGAATGCCTTCCTTATGTTCTGAGGTGTCATACCTCTCACGAAGACCGAATTGGTTTACCAATTGTTATGACTTCGTTACAATGGAGCACTAAATCCAAAGTACTCAAAAATTCTGTTGGATAGTTAACTGCCTCATCTGTTTTCACTAAATTACAAAAGTTTTTGGGTAATGTAATCCGTTCGCATGTCCGATCAATAGATATTTCGCCGTTTCCCCATTTCCAGTGACTGCCGAATACTGTTGAAAATACATCGGCCGAAGGATGACGCTGACACGCATATTGGTGCTTAATTGAAGGGTTTGCAGTTTTAGGCAAACACTGATCTCGCCCGGTGTTGGTGTTGATCGCCTGCCAGCGATATTAATGCTTTGCCAAATAGTTGATTGTTGTCACATCACGATCTTGCAGCAACCGTTCAAGAGCCTTAAGTGACTTTGTCTGTGCGCTTGTAAATTTATTCCAAACAAATAACTTTTCATTCTCGTAATATTTCTCTCATTCCGAATGCTTTGGAAATATTACACATAAGAGTCTTAATGGTTTGCAGGTTCATTGGCAACTTCAGAGCAGAATAAACGGTCCTTCTACCAGGTAATAATGTTGCCGCGATTTTGGAGGACGTAAGAGTCTGGGCTTATGGAATTGTTGCCAGAATTAAATTAATCAGGAACATATTGCCACTTCCTCTAGGAGCATTCAAGAAAGGGAGTTTCTGGTTCGCGTCTCAGATGGATGATTAGTTCTCCTGTTAATCTAAGCAAAAATCCAACTTTTGTAACGAATATTAAGCAAATAGAATTATAAATTAACTGAAATTATACAGGGTGAGCGCTCGTCAAAGATGGACACCAGGAAAGAGAAAATTCGCTATATTTTACAATTTTTCTACGATCAATGCAAAAAAGCAGCCAAAGCCAAAATTAAGGGAGGCCTGTAGACGAAAATTGCGATAAAATCATGGAAACAGTGGAAACAGACCATCCCGTGAGCACTTATTGAATTGCTGAGGAATTAAAGATAAGCCATAAAACCGTTTGGAACCATTTGCATAATCTTGGATTCAAAAAGAAGCTCGATGTTTGGGTGCCACACGAATTAATCGCAACGAAATCGACCCGTTTCTAAGGCGAATTGTGAGTGGCGATGAAAAATAGGTCACTTACGACAACATCGAACGCAAACGGTCGTAGTCATAGCTCGGGGAAGCGGCCAAGACGGTGGCCAAGACCGGATTGACTGCCAGGAAAGATTTTCTATGGCCAAACGCTCAGTTCGGCCCTCTACTGACAACAAATGGACCTCTTGAAGGCAGCACTCATCCAGGAGCGGCCATCTTTGATCAACAGAGTCCGAATTGTGTTCCATCAGGTTAACGTCACACACGTATTTGGTGACGCGCCAGAAACTCCAGGAGCTCGGATGGGAGGTCCTAATGCATCCACCTTATAGTCGGGAACTGGCACCAAGTGATTACCATCTTTTTCTGTCCATAGTGAATACGCTTAATGGTGAGAAGTTGGCCTCAAGAGAGGACTGTGAAAATTGGTTCTCGGAGTTTTTTGCCAGTAGGGACGCAGCCTTCTACGGGTATAATGAAATGGGCATCTCGTTGGCAACAAGCTTACGAACAAAACTTAAATCGGACAAATGTAAAAAACCGAATGAACTTTTTGTCCGCAATTCCTTTACCGCCCAAAAGACTACATAAAATAAATCGAAAAATAATCATTTTGGTTGAATTGAAAATTGATTTATTTCTTTCTTTACATTTGTTTTTATTTTCTAAAGAACTTAGATACGAAATTACAAGGATAATTATTAAATATTACATTTCCTTAATAATGAAGTGTGTCTTACCAATTTTAATAATAATAATATTCAGATATATTCGTAATTATGTCCGTCTAACATGTACATACATATGAGTATATAAAATCGAACGCATAGTAAGTACATACATATGTATAAATATGCATTTATATTAATATTTATGTACATAATATATATATTTTTTTGCATTTATAAGTACTTTGTTCCGCAATAATGAATAAAAAAAAATTACATTTTCTTGCACTCATTTTGTGTTTATATATGGACATATACATATGTACATATGTATGTATTTGAAATTAGAATAAGAAGAAAATATAAGAAATCAGTTCCTAGCTACATATATTTTTAAAAATTATTTTTTATTTGTCTTTTACAACTTACATAGAGTACATACAAACATATACATATGTATTGTATATACATACATAAGTATATATTTGCATATGTATATACATATATAATATTAATGGTTTCGACTTTAATTATAATAAATATTTTTATATTTCTTTTTACGCAGTTTTAACAGCATTCAACTTAAATTAATTTTCTTTTAATTTTATTAAATTATTTTCATTAATGCTGCTGTAAATATCGATTTTTCAGTTTTCCTCTTCTTTTGATTTGTGTGTGTGTGTGTTTTTTTTTTGTTTGCTTAGCTTAAAATTCTATTAACACATAAACCCGTACGGGCAATACAGGCAATTTTACATATACATTTGCACATTGGTTGTTGTTTTATTTTTTAGTGTTGTTTTTCATTTTTCAATTAAAAATTTTTTCCTTTGATAGGCTATGTTTTTTATCAACTGTAAATTTCGTGAACTGTTTTAACGCTGAACCAACAATAAAAATATGCGTATTTTTGTTATCGCTTGCGAGTCAAACAAAAAAAAAAAACATTTCTCGCTTGTGAATATTCATATTTTGGTTTCGTAGTTTAGTTTGTATGGGTATGTGCGTGTGTGTGTGTTATTTTGTCTTTATTTTCACATTAAAAACTTTAGTTTAAAACCAATAAAGATCCTTAGATGATTCCTGTACTTGTGCATCGAGGCCTGAAAGTAGAAGAGAAGGAAGTTTATAAGTAACAGACAAACATAATTTTCGTAGGCAATAATTAGAAGAAGAAAATTTAAGAATATTGAAAACCATTTAAAATACGAGAAGATTAAAAAGAAGATACGAGAAGATCAAATTAAAACAGTCTTGTGGCGAAGGGCAGTGAGCCGACACAAACGTTCTGCAAGCCGGGAAAGTTTTATGATGTGTCTTTTTGAATTGGAATCAACCATTATGAATTGTGCCCCCCTGAGCGCAAACTCTTAATTCGGACTTGTACTGTTAGCTATTGGCGCATCTGAAAGAAGCTACCGTCCAAAAGTGCTCAGCTTTGGCTAACAGGGGGGTAATTTTTTTTTCATCAGGACACAGCCAGACTACACACAACGGCAGTGTCTCGCCAGAAGTTTGGGGAGCTTGGTTGGGAGATTCATACTCTTTCACCTTATAGTCCATATCTCTCACCAAATGATTACCATCTGTTCCTGTCTACGGCGAATAATTTGGCTGGTGAAGAATTGACCTCAGGAGAAGTCTGTGAAGTTCGATTGTCCCAATTATTTGCCAACAGAGACAAAGGTTTCTATAAGAGAAGCATTTAATTTAATGTAAAATGAATGTATTACTTTTTACTAGACCTTCAGGGCGTAAGTGAGCAGCTTAAAAGAAAAAATGTTGAAGTATTGTATTTTTTTTCATTTTACAACAGTGACATTCCAGACTGGCGGCCATTTTAATTGTTTTACGGCTTTTGTCCTTTCGACCTGAAATGTGGGTAGTACACGGCTCACCCACATTTGAGGTATGGTGGGTATGTAAGTAAAAATATATACATATATGCATGACTACAAATATACATAAACATATGTATCTACACTAGTATGTACATATGTATGTATGTATGTGTGTATTTTATGTTCAACAACGCTTTTGCATGTATGAATAAAATTTGTTAGGCCAAGTTGGGGACAAGTAACCACCAAAAAAGTTTAACAACCACGAACATGTACTACTCATGTATGTATGTATGTAGTACATACTCGACATATGCATAATTGAACAAAACATTTGCTAAGGTAAAAACGCACACAACTAAGTTACAAAAGTTTCATATATATGACCGTTTCATGTGCATACATACATATGTTTTTATGTAATAAATGCTACTTTTGGGTTAGACATTTATCTTTGTGGTTTTACACACACATATATATATGTATGTATGTACATATGTGTATGTCCTTTAAACATTTCAGAATGGGTTTGTGCTCAAATAAGAGGTCCGTCTGTCTTCTTTGACGCGTTGAAAGTTATTACAACAGCTGAGGGTTGGTTGTCATAGCAACCAACAGTCCGTTATGTCATGTAAGCAAGTAGCCACAAACACATACATTTGTCATTTCAGTAGGACATACCCACTCGTAAATGATACTTCAAAGTTTAAAATTCACTTTCATCTATTCGAGGAGAACAGTCAAAGCGTACACTTTTTTCGATATATTCCCCAAAGATGGTCAAAAAGAGCAGGTGATGGCGCAAAATAAATGGGAAAAGTGGAATTTAATAAGTGACATATATATATAATATGCATATATACATATAAATGACGAACATATGTATTAAGGCGCGTTCACACATGATTTGAAAAACACTTTTTTCAACTTTTGGTTAATCAAAAAGTTATACTTTCCAGCGTCAAAAATTTTCGAAAGTAAATTTGAACAGTTATTTTTTTAATTTTCAGAATTTTTTCTTTTTAAGCTATGCATATATTTGATGGTAAAATTGTGAATGCGAATGAGTTAAATGCTTGCTTATGCTGCACTTTTTCACTTTTATTACTTTCTTGAAAGTGCTGTAAAAAGTTTTGAAACTGATTTTATTTACTTTTATTTGTAATTACCTTTAGATATTAATTAACAATTTTTTTTTGAAATATAGAAAAAAAAGAATTTTTTTCCCCTTTCTAAAATCACTTTTTTTAATGACTTTCCGCAAGTTTCATGACTTTTAAAGTTTGAATATTAGTAATAATATTTTAATTCTATAGATTAAGTGTTTGATGAGAATATTTTTTTGAAGAGTTAAAAAAAAAACACAAGAAAATAAACTTTTTTTGCTCAAAAAAACTTGCTTATGGTCCACTATGGAGTACAAATTGATTAGATTGAAAGCATATCTCCACCTGCAAGTTGTAGCCGATCTAAGAACCAAGTGGTTTCGACGCTTCAAAAGTCTTCGGTAAAGCAAAAATGTTTGAAAATAGATGAGGAGTCACGATCTGGCTTTACTGGATCAAGATCCGTGCCAAATGCCAACTGAACTCGCGGAATCGTTAGGGATGACTCAACAAACACTTTCCGAACGGTCAAAGCAATTTGATTTTAATTTAAAATCAAGAATAGAAAGGGTGCCCTACCAATTGAAGCTGGGAGATATCGAAAGACAATTTTTAACACTCGGAACTGTTTCTTAGAATACATCAAAGGAAGAATTTTTTGCATCGAATCCTGACTGACGATGAAAAGTGTATGTACTATGATAATCTCAAGAGGAAAGCATACCAAGTCTGGTGAACCCGTTCGTACATACTCTGCATTCGCGCCATAGAAAAACAAATCAGACCATGCTCTGCATATCGTGGTACCAGATGGGTGTTGTGTACTATGAGCTGCCAAAACCAGGCCAAAACATTGATGCGAAACTTTATAGAGCCGCGTAGTGGGTGAAAAACGATCAGTAACAATCGACCAAAAAGACAAAGCTCGGCTCTATATGGCCGCAATGTTCTAAAAGCTACATAGAAATGATGAAATGGCAGGTCTTACCCCACCTGCCGTATTCTTCAGACCTTACGCCTTGCGACTACTGGTATTGTCGACGCATGCAAGACGGTTTGAGTGTCACTAGTTCGGGTCTTTTGAAGGCTTGGTAGAAAGGTGCAATGATTAGATCGAGGACAGAAAGGACTAATTTTTCAGAGATGGTATTCGAAAATTAACAGAGAGACGGGAAAAATAAGTCGCTTCTAACGGACAATACTTTGATTTATTTTTTTTATACTTTTCAGTATGAAAAGCACACTTTTTTGAATCCAACAAAATCGCACCGGATAATTTGTACTTCATAATTCTTCTCTTCAAAACTGTAACATTAAGGCAGCAATAGCGATCTACTTTCTTTCCCTCACTTTCAGGCCTGCTCGATGCTGGAAAAGCTCGCCAAACTTTCAGCCTTGCGATAATAAAAAATCATTTTCGAAGTTTTGGAAAGTAAAGTTTTTGAAAGTTTTTGGGTTATGCCTCCGCTATTTTTTTAGGTTTTGAAAAAGTATTCCAATTTTTAGTTAGTCAAGAAATCTTTAAATAAATTTTATATTTATAAATGCACTGTATATCGGCAGACCAAAAACCGTAATGCTGTGCTTCCAAAGGGGCTGTCCCTTCAACTGCCGATTGAAATATTCATGAATTCTATTTGTATAATTTTCTCACATTTTCACTTCATTCTTCTTCATATTTATATTATATAAATGTTTGCATGCACATGTGTATCTATGTACGTGCATAGTTTATGTGTACTCACCTGCCATTGTGGGGTAACTGGAGTAAGCTGCCGCACTTTCGAGCGCATGCGCTGTCTGTTGGTCATGATGCAGTCTGCAATGAGAGAAATTTCTAAGAAATAAATATTTGTATTAACATTTTTTCGCTAACGGTTTGGCATAAAAAAAAAAACTAAAATATAGCAATAGCATTTCTCGTGTACAGAATTGATCGACAAAATAGATATTTTACTTTCGATTCCTTGATTTTACTTTCATAAGTTCAAATTTAGTTTTAAGTTAAATTTACTTGGGCTTAACCTACAACCTACATATAAAACCAAATTTATAAAGATGAAAGGCTTTGTCCTGAATGACTGACAGATCAACTCACAGCCTAAACCACTGGTCGTAGAGTCCAGACACCTGGTGGGTGTGTTCTGCATGTGACGTATGCACCAGATAAGAAAGGATTTTTTGGTAAGATGGATGGATCTAGGATCTTTCGATGGTTCGGCTTTATAATAGTTCATAAGTTATTATTACCATCATCCTGAAAATCCCAAGGGTAAACTCTAGGATCAACTCACAGCCTAAGCTACTGACCGTGGGGACCTTGATGTATGCATCAAATAAGAAAAGGTTTTTCGGGATTTGGACCTGTGAATGATCTATTCGAAATTTTATTTTGAAATCGTTCAAATTATATGAAATTTGGAAGAGAGGTCGCGCTTTGCCTATTTGAATGTGAAGTACTTAGTTGCAACTCCCTGCACCAGCCACTACGAACTACCCAAACATGGAAGTTGGTGAAGTGTCCAATTCAGAGACGTTTTGATCTCAGCAGTAGCTCAACTTCCCAAGATTTTACCGCAGTTTTCACAACTGCTCACTGTTTGCCTTCCAGCTGCTAAGCTAATACTTCTGCAGTCCCCTTATTGGAAAGACACCAAATCGGCTTAGCTATATCCGGAAAACACCATTTCCTGATGAGAATTGGTTAAGAAGGAAGTCGGTGACCCTGTACCAAGCAAGTTAAGCAAAATATAAGCTCTTAAGTTCCTTTTTGTTAGTCTCTTTATGTCTGTGAAGAAGTTCGTTAAACCTCCCACCATCCACTAAGAGCTACCCAAATACCCCGGGGTGGGATTGAAAGTGGCGAAGTGTCTACCATGCTACTACTAAGTGCCCACTTCTCAAGGCTTCACAGCTTCTAAGCTAATGCTTCGCCAGTCAGTCAACTTACTGAAAATGATATGACCAAAGAGTTACGTCAGTAGGCCTGAGGTTTATTTGTGCATACGCATGGGTACGAAAATGTTTAAAAGAATTTGGGTCACCCTGTACTTACTAAAAAACTTATGTACGTGCATACATTAATAAGAAGAAATGAAATAAGATTTGCATATTGCATTTACCTGGTGCCGTGGCTATATTGCTGTGGCAGCCGTAACAGGCTACCGTATTGCGCCATATTGTGATGATAGGCGTGCGCATGTGCGGCATGTGCATGTGCTGCGTGCGCGTATGAACCGTAATGTGCGGCGGCTGCATGTGACACCCATGGATCGGTTGCATAGCCACCGTCCGATGCATACAAATCGCCAACCTGGAAAGAAATGGAGCGAAATAGGAATAAAAAAAGAATAGAAGAAAGATACATATATAAATACATATACATATGTATACTTAAAGAAGAAGCAGTGAGTATGTTGTAGCTGAAAATCATTGCAATCTTTGTAATGTCTTTATTGTTTCGAGCTGCTTGCACTCCTATGAGTGTACACACACATACATACATATATGTGTGTACATATTGACATTTGTATATTTATGCACAACTTACCTGCGGATGTGTGGGTGCGGGAACTGGATGTACATAGTTGCTATTCCAAAACGAAGGTGGGAAATTTCTGGCTGACATGGGACTATGCGTTTCTGCAAAGAGAAAAGAAAATAAAAAAATATTAAATTTTAATTTAATATGAATATTTGTAAAAATGTTATAAATATGTGCTCGGTTGGTGTTTATATATAAAATAAGAAATAAATAAAATGGCGTCCCTATGTGGCAACTACAGACTCTTCTTTACTGGTGTGGACATCGTCTGCGCGTTTCTTTTTTTCTTTTGGAAACACCAAGTGCAGCCAGGCACTCCGCCACCTGGTCTTTCCAGCGGTGTGAAGTTCTTCCTCTTCCTGTGCTACCAACCGGCGGATACATGCTTCCCCATCATATAGCAGTACGGGAACCATGAGGGACTTGTAGTGTGTGCTTTTCGTTCGTCGGGAGAGGACTTTACTTTTCAATTCCCTACCCATATAAGGGAACATCACCGCAGACGATCGCTGCATCGAGCTGCACGAGTTATTAGGTTGCATTGATATACGAGTAGTTCAGCCAATGAAGAGATAGCGGTTACGATGACTAGGTAATGTCATACGAATGAATCATCTTTTCCACGGAGTGGAGATTTTCCTCTTCCTTAGGGTATTGCAGCGGTAACTTTCAGAACTGAAACTCCTTCGCTCGTATGGCTAACAAGACATTCCTATCGTGACGTTTATTGTTGTTGTTTTTTTTTTCAGACATCCAACACCACTTGGGAACAAGCGAGAGTAGTATAAGTCCAGAGGAGGTTCAAAAATGAACAGTTACGACGGGTTCGGGAAAGAAGGCAATGGGGTTAGATGAGTTTTTATAAGTCATGTAAAGAGGAGGTTAGAGCTGTTTCGAAGAGTCGTGGACCAGAGGGTAAGGGGATCAGATGAGTAGATTTTAAGGGAAATGTAAAGAGGAGATTAAAGCTGTTTCAACAGGTCTGGACTAGAGAGAAAGGGAGTCAGTTGAGTAGATTTTAAGGGAAATGTAAAGAGGAGGTTAGAGCTGCTTTGATGGGCTTGGACCAGAGGGAAAACGGGTTAGATACGTAGGTTTTAAGGAAGTATATGTCAGATCAGGACAGGAGATGTTGGTATTGATCGTAATAGTGCCAGTATTGTGACGATTGTCCCTCTTCGTTCCCTTCGTTTGCAGTATTTGCCATTGTCAATGCCTAAAGGTTCATAAATCGCATGAACACTAAAAATTCTAAGTTTTCCCATAATTATGAAGAAAAATAAAGAATATATGTATGTGCGCTAGTTCTCAACAAGCATAATAAAAGAAGTAAACGAGGAAGATGTAAAATACGGATGGCAGACGTCCTTATTAAATTAATAAATTCCTTCAGAAATTTCTCAAATATTTTCAATACTTCCAGCAGATGAGTATCATAACCAAAAATGTTAATTTCTTTTGTAATTACAATAAAGGAAAAATTATTTTTAAGACTCATTGACTTCAACATAGACTCCCACACGAAAATAGTAATAGTAATTTACTCCACACATGACAAACTCCAACGCTTTGCCACAGACACTCCACCAACCCACCACTCCACTTGCCTGCAGCCGCAGCTGCTGTTTACGCCACTGATTACCATAAGTAATTTTATTGTGAATATTTGTGGTATTCGCAGTTTGGTTGCAATTGGTTGGCATTGAGGAATTGAAAGTGAATTTAAATGATGCCTACTTTAGCCCACATACGAGTGCACGCTACTAAACGCTCTCCCGGCTTGGCTTTTGGCGTAAATGCGGCACGTTGGCTGGCTGGATGGCTTGCCTGTGGACTGCTGACTGCTGACTGCTGACTGCTGCCGTGTCGCCGCTGCAGCCTAACACGGCATGATGGAGACATCTTGGCGCACGTATGCGGTTGTTGTTTGTCGTTATGGCTTCGTGGTTGGATTTGTCTTATATTCTGCTGCTTATTTTTCCTTTCGTTATTGCGTTTACATTTTAATTTTAAATTTTTTTTTTGTTTTTTTTTTTCAGTATTTTGGTTTTACATTCACGTTGTTGATGGTGCTTTGCATGGTTCGCTCGCACGAGTGAGTTTGTTTGTTTGTTTGTGTCTTGCGGATATGTGTGTGTGTGGGCGCTTACGCATGCCTCGATTGTGTTGGTATTAATGGGAATTCCTTAGCGTCATTTCATATGCGCATCGATGGGTGATGACGACGACGACGACGACGATAACGACAGTCTACGCAGCTGACGGGGGTCGCTTTGGCCAACTAACTGGAGCAGACTGGGCCCCTGCATGCTGCAAAACAAACAAGGAATTGCGTGTGTTTGTACTGAATGCAATGTGTTGTAAACATGTATATATACATATGTACATACATATGTATGTATATATGCATACATAAATATATGCGTCTGCCTGCATCATTGACTGATTTTGGCTACAACTGCTGCCACTGTGGCACGCGGCATTTGTACGAAAACAGCCTGCGTTAGCACCACTCCCGCCGCACCAACGGCTCTGCATCACCACACACTGCTGCCTAGCTCATTTTGTAACATTCACGCCACGCTCGGCACAGCGTATCAAAACATATGTAACTCGTACAAAAGTGTGCAAACAAATCGAAAACGAATCCCGCTCTAAATTGAGTACGGAATGTTGTCAGCCGTTCATAGAGTCAGACTCATCCGCGTCGCCATCAGTATTACCATCACGAGCAACAGCATCAGCACTCGCAACAACAGCGCACCGTGTTGCCATCATGAATACTAGCAATAGTCGCTTTAGTCGCATCAACTTGTGCAACTGTCGTCTGCCGCCGCTCCAAATCTAACTCGTCTACTCGTTACTGAGCAATGCTGTATGACTGCCGACTGCCGACAACCGACAACCGACTGCTGCAGTCGCAGTCGCGTCACTTTTAGATGCTGCAGCCTGCAGCACACACATCGCGTTCGTTGAGCGTGCGACAATACGAAATTCCGGCCGCTACATTCCAGCGCAGCACTTTTCCAAGTGTCGGTTAGTGTTTGCTGTTATTCGCTCTATTTTTGGTAGTTAAACTTCACGGGAGGAGCTTTTAGTCGCCGTGTGTGTGTCTGTGTGTGTGTATGTGTGTGCGAATGTTTATGCATTTATTATTACGTGTAGGGTATGTATGCCATGTGGTCACGTTCAATGAAGGTAACACAAATGTGTATGTACACATATATGTATGTACCCTGCAGGGAAAACCCAACTAGTAAGCAAATTTGCTTGTTAATACTAGTATTTCGAGTTGAAATCCTACCAGTTCGTCTAGTAACGGGAGAAATAATAATTTCCACCACCGTCTGTTGTTGTTATATCGGCACGCCGCGACTGAATTCTATCATCTACACTGTTCTATTGAAGTGCACAAAATGGCGCTCGTTGTTACATCGTCATGATTGCCGACTGGTTAGAGGGTTTCGCTGGTTGCGCCTTAGGTTCCCAGTTCGAGGTCTGACTCACCCTGTAGTTAAGTAGTAAATAACTAGTCTATTTCCCTGCAGGGTATGTGCACCGGTGCCCGTCTCTACGTCTCTGTGTGTGTGTGTGTGTTTGTGTGTTTAGCAATAGACAAACGTATGTACATATGTACATATGTGCATATGCAGAGACGTGCCTTTATTTAGCAATACGATTTCATATTAATGAGACTTAATTACTTGTAATTGATAAGTGTTTTTATTTTGATTTCCGCCGCATTCTCAACGGCACTACCAAGTTCCTACTGCTCTTCTTACTAGGGCAGTATTACTTCCTTAATATAACGGTAGCAAAGTTTGACATTGACATGAACTGGCATTTGTCCTTGTATAGGGATATGTCAATCAAATGTCAAGAAATTCTAATATTTTACTCGGTCACATACATACAAGTGACTTTTGGTGGCACACCATGGTAGATGTTCGTCAAGCCATTTGTGTAGCCATGGAAGGTGTCCGCCAAGCCATAAGTGTAACGAAACTATAAAATTATTAAGTAAATACTTCATTGGCGGGCAGCTGAAGTTTAAAGTGGTGATAGCTGAGCTGTATATGATTTTAATGTCGTTCCTAGTGAATCTGGTATTGGAACATTGATACGAAATATGGTGTAAAGATATTTGAGATGACGAGCAACAACAAAACCCTATGAAAACCAGAAAGAAATGAAAGAAATGGTTATGAATGATCACCGAATCACAGATAAAGAAGTCACTTATAATGTTGGCTTATTATTTGGCTTATGTCATGACATTTTTTTCTTTCAATGTTTTAGGTTTGATATGCGTCGCAGCAAAGTTTATTTAAAATTGTTGAATTTTGGTGAAGGAAAGTTGCGCAGTAATCTAAAAAATAAAAGGAACACCAAATTCAGAGAGCTGACGACACATAGATTTATGGATATGATATTAAAAATAAGGCCCGGTCAACGCAGTGGAGACATTCAGGTTCGTCAAGATCGAAATAAGTTCGAAAAGACAAAAAAGGTTGATGCATGTGAAGGATATGCGCAATGGGTTCTCCGATTTTAATGACAAAGGGCGGTGACCTAGATGTTGAACGCGCATTTAGGGTGTTGTAACGTCGATTTCAGCACGCATCTTTGCCTTGAGCTCGTCAATAGAGGTTTGAGGTTAGTTGGCGTAAACCTTGCTTTTCAGATAACTCCACAAAAAGAAGTCCGGGGGGGTTAAATCAGGTCATCTGTCAGATGGTGCCTTTTTGCCGCCATATTTTTTCCGATATAAAAGTTGAGTTAACCCAATGAAGCGACTGTTTTCGATGTAAAGTGTCACTATTTCAGCGCTTTGTTTCGGGGTGAAGCGATTCATGGCGAAAATTGTACTGAATTGACGTTTCCAAAACACATCTGATGCAATCACTCAAAAAAATCACCGACAGTAAAGAGGGAACACTCTGCATTTATTCGCAAATTTTTGTCCTTTTCTAACTTCTCTACATAATCGCCATTGATTTCAATGCATTTCTCAAACCTCTTGATCCACTTCTTAAAAATCTCGCTTTTTAAGCTTATCATGTTCAGTATTAACCGAATTAATTGTCTCCTCGTTGCT